AAAAAAATTCATTGCCTCTGCAGTCATCAGGTGCTGAGGATCACGGCCGCTGATGAAGTCCAAGTAGAGAAATTGAAGGAGCTGGGAGCCCTGGAGGATCTTCAGGTACTGCTAAAAAAGAACTCTGCATATGATCTGTACTATGGGTTCCTTGTCTGAACTGACATGGAATGGTTCTCCTGTTTTGTTCTGTGTGGCTTTCCATTATCCCAGCTACTCCCACTGGTACCCCAGACCAAACTGTGGTATAATCCAAGAGCCAGTTTTCTGCAGGAAAGGTCATCTTGCCAAAAATTTTGTTTCTTCTACTGGCTGTGGGATAGATGAGCATAATTATGTTACGTAAGTTATGCAAGATGCATTTCAAAAGTTCATACCTGTCAATAACCTTTTATGTTCCTTCTCATTTTTATGCCCAGTTGGATTTCTGGCTAGCCCCAGTTCATCCTGAGCTCCCCATAGATGTGCGAGTCCCCTTCCCCAGCCTCCAAAGGGTCAAGGTCTTTCTGGAGTCCAATGACATCCAATACTCCATCATGATCAACAATGTTCAGGTTAGTGCTCTGACCAGATGAGAAGAGAAAGGTGGGTGTGTTGGCAACCTGAAAAGGACCTGTTTTGTGATCCCAGAGATCTGAAATCAGAACCAACCAACCATGGAAAAAATAATAATGAAATGTATCTTTTAGGCTCATCACCTAAAATGTAGTGTAGGGAGTTGGTCCAATCCCAGGGTTGAAACTGGAGTTAAGAAGGTGTCCTCCATAGACAATCAGATGTTTTGGGTCAATGCTGTGGACTGAATAGCAGCTTGAAAGGGGACCACTCTTCCATCAGATAGGTTGGCCTGCATGGCCAATGGTGTGGGGTTGGCTTTCCTTAAATTCCTGCATGGTCCTTGCTGGGCGAATGGGAGAATGGCTCTGATAAAAGCTACTTGATTGCCCCATAACTCAGAAGGATGGAGTGACTCCAAGGAACCCAGAGGAAATGCAAATCTTCTGCTCAGTTGACCTTTGGGATTGTTCTTGTTCTCCCCTTCAGAGATTGGTTGATGAGGAGAAGAGCCACATGATGCTCCAGCGCCAAGTACAAGAAATGTCACTTGCAACTTTTAACTATGCTGCTTACCACAACCTAGATACCGTAAGTACCGTGAATGCCCACTTAGGTCTTCACCCTTTTTAGGATCCTGAATAGTTTAACTCAGTGGTGGAGAAGACTTTTGGGACACAGACTCACGTAGATATAGACACCATTTTGGCCTTATCCCCCTCCTCTCTTTGCTCGCTAGATCTATAGCTTCATGGACCTCTTGGTGCGTGAGAAGCCCCTGCTGGTCAGTAAAATCGAGATTGGTCAGACAACTGAAGGTCGCCCAATCAACGTCTTGAAGGTAAGCCATCCCTTCGATGCTCACTGGTGGTGGACTTCTGGACGGTGACAAAGCAGCTGTGTTCATTCAACATGATTAACTAAGTCCCTTAAAACCCTAGTGGTTATGTCAGTGTTTCTCAAGCTCGACAACTTTAAGAGGTGTGGACTTCAACTCCCAGAATTCCCCAGCCTGGGGAAGTTGAAGTCCACACCTCTTAAAGTTGTCAAGGTTGAGAAACACTGGGCTATGCTAACTCAACATGCTAAGCTCGGCTAGTTTTTTTATGGCTTAGCCTGGCTTGGCTTGTTCAAAACAGTTTATGATTCCAAGTATTGCGCAAGTACAGAGAAGCGTTAATCTGGTATCCAGGTTAAACATAAGGTCCTAAAGCATCTTGCCAAAATACTTCTGGCACCAGGCTCGAGGTTTATTCACCAGGAGTGGGGGAAGTCTGCATTCCTCAGAACGGTGGCTTTGGGCCCAGTTTGTGCAGCTGTGTGCTACTGGGGCCACTGGGATGGATACGGTGAAACTGGAGCCTGACTGGGTTAAATGTGCGGTGCAGTGTGTGTCAGACCTGCACAGCAGCATCTGGGAGGTGGGAACTCCGAAATCTGACCATATTGAACTCCAGATCTTTCTTCTGTCCATCCCTGGGTTTACAGAAGGCTCTTCCCCTTTAGAAGCAAAAACGGAGTGACTCTGACCATAGATTGGGTGTTGGGGAGGTTCCCCAAAAGTATTCTCTGGATGCATCGGGGAGCCCTTCCTCTGCAACTTGGCTGTACACTGTGCAACGGATCTGTATATGCTTTCTCCTCTGAGATGATCTGTGACAGCTGAAGCCAGCAGAAATAGGAAAGGTTTTATTGCTGTGGAGAAAACTTTCTGATAATAGCCAGGAATCGTGCGAGGAATTAGCTAGAGAAGACTGAGAAAGTTCAGAGCGCATACGTTTATTTGGAACTGAAGCTGCAAGGCTTTGCGAACAGGAGGAAGGCAGAGTCAGGCCCGAGGGAGTTGTCTGCAACAGCCCAGAGTTTGAATCTCAGACATCCCATAAGCTGATCCAAACGCTTTTCCAAGAGAAAAGTCTCTGTAGCTCGGGGTTCAACTGTGGAGTCCCTGGTGCTCTCTGAGTTGGGTGGCTGGCTGGCAGACCTTTCATTACCATACCCGACTAGGCAGTGTCGCCAGTGCCAGGGAGCATCATCGCTAGGTCACACCGTCAGGGGCTGACGTAGCTTGATTAGGGCATCGCTTCCTTCTTCTCTCAAGAAGGCAGACTTTGCGGCTGACGGGCGTCCTTGGGCGAGGCGCCAGGCCAGAATCTGGCCCCTCATTGCTCGAATGGGTCTGGCTGCTCAGACTCAGCGTCTCCTGAAGCTGCTGGGGGTGTCTGATTTGGGGGTGTCTGGTTCCCTGCTGGCTCTTCAGGCTGACCTCTCCATCGGACGAACCTCTGACTAAGAGGACTCAGGCTCAGTCACGCAAGCTCTCCCACGTGCTGCCCACGTGGCCCTTAGGGGGCCTGGATGGAGAAGTGGGGCTCTCTGGCACCCTGTCGACTGCCACAGTATCATGTGGGGGGATCTAGCAGGTCTCTTGCTATGCTTGTGGCATCTGGGCACGCAGGCTTTGCACGGTGGTGGCAAATAGGTGAATCTGTTACGGCCAGAACTGCCACTGCATTGGGGGCATCTGTGGGAGGGGGTTAAAAATAGCCAAGATGGTGGGCGCGACTGAATGGTTGAAACCCCATCCCTTTTTTACATGCACAGTTGCATCCACCATTGTGACTTTTTTGACCCCTTCCTCCTGCAGATGCCCCTAATCTTGTCCACGGCAACATATATTTTGCTAGGTTGCCGGATGTTCATAATAGTGGTATTCCATGTAAGGGATGATTAAACCCAGGAACTCTTTTCCTAAAAATTCTGCTTTTTGGCGAGTCAGACCTCAGGATGAAACAGGGAAGAGATGGAAATAAAATTGCCATATTCTGCCAGCGAGGTTCTTGTTTTTCTTGTCCCCAAAAGTATTTCTTTCTTGTTGCAAAGTCTGCTTTTTCGTAGCATGGCGAAATCCTAGTCGCCAATTCGCCTCTCCCAGTCCGGTGTTCCTCCCACTGCATTGCACTACAGCTCCCAGGATTCCAAGCAGACGCTCACCAGCTGGGAATTCTGGGAGTTGCTGTCCAGAACATCTGGCAGGTCTGGCCCTGGGGAGATGCTGAGGAATTCTGAAGCCACGATGGTTGCTTGGATTAAGGCATCTGTTCTTCGCTTTGCACAGTTCAGCACGGGGGGAACCAACCGCCCCGCAATCTGGATTGACACCGGCATTCATTCCCGTGAGTGGATCACTCAGGCCAGCGGAGTTTGGTTTGCAAAGAAGGTACCGGCTGCGATTTCTGCTCCAAAGCGCACATTCTGTAAATGGGAGGACGGAAAGCTAAGCCGTAATATCTTTTGGTTAGATTAGTGTTTCTCAACCTTGGGAACTTTAAGAGGTGTGGACTTCAATTCCCCATGCTGGCTGGGGAATTCTGGGAGTTGAAGTCCACACCTCTTAAAGTTCCCAAGGTTGAGAAACACTGGTTAGATATTGATTATACTTCCTTTTTTCCCCCACAACCACTTTGTAAACCGGCTGGGCTGATAGCAGGATCTTCTCAGTCCTAGGCGAACATTTTCGACAGAAGCCAGATGGTTATCACTTTAGGGGGTCCTGCTCTGAGCAGGAGGGTGGGCTAGGTGACCTCTCAGCGCCCTTCCAACTCCCTGATGCTAGGAACCTGTGATTTGCCACTACACCATGTGACCCCTTCAATGGTTTTGGTTTAGTGGCGTGTGAACCTGTGTGTGACAGTTTGAATTAACCCAAGTATTATGTTCTGAAAGCCATGGTTTGTGGCTAAACACAGGGGTGAGCAGAGATCTGCAAGCTCTCTTTTTATGCACCCCGGGCATGGCCAGAATGGGTGGTGGGGCCCACACTATTGGCCTGCGGGGGCTTTTGGAGAAGAAAAGGAGCGCTCTTCCCCTTGCATTTCATCCCATCGCCCACTCTGCCTACCCAGAATAACAGGATGAAACCATTGCCCAACCTCCTGAGGTCTTCACCCCAGTGCAAAAGCTGAGCCCAGCCAATGGTGGTTCACTCAGCAATGTTGAATAAATCACAGCTTCATGGGGAGTGGGCCAAGAAAATCAAGATGGTGGCCGTGATTGCAGAGTCACTTGCCCCTTTGATGGTGTAGAGCAGACTTCAATGGCGTAGTTGTGGCTACCATCTTGTTTTTCCTGACACCGCCCCTCCCACACACAGACACCCCTGTTTGATTTTCCCGAAACCCAAGAAAAATGAGGAATTCCTAGCAGATCTCCACGCACATTTCATGGTTGTTCCATGCCTGCCCCCCGCTCCCCCTGAAAGAGCAAAGAGCTGGGCCCTGCCCCTGAGAAGTGGTCAATCTGATATTTCCTCAATTTGTTGCGCAACAGCTCCTGCAATTCTGGGAGGGTAGCAGGCCTCCGGGCGGGGGGGGGGTTCCCTTAATACTGATCCAAGAAATGCACTGTAAAGCACATCTGTGGATGAAACGGAACCCGTTTTGATCTCCTTTAGATCTTTGACGATCATGGGAAGGATCCGTCTCTCACTTCCATCATGAACAAATTTGACATCTTCCTAGAAATCGTCACCAATCCGGATGGTTTTGCCTACACACACACCAAGGTATCTCTTTCCTTCATGGTTTGAAGTTGGTTTTAAACAAGGGATGCACTATGCAACATTTTAGCTTCAGTGACTTCTGACATTCACTGATGGGCATTCCTGACTTACAGAACCGTATGTGGCGTAAGACCAGATCTAAGAGAAGTGGGACATCTTGTGTTGGAGTGGACCCCAACAGGAATTGGGCAGCAGGCTTTGGAGGTAAAATGCTTTTAGGGGCCTTTAAGGTCAGAGCCAACCTTTTGTGACCCAGTGGAACAGCCCCATTGGAAGAGAGCCAACAGTCCGTGCATGGGATTGCTGGGACTTGAATGGAAAGGATGATCTGGGGAGGGGTAGAAAGAGGGGAGATGAGGTGGAGGAATGGTAATCAGATATGGAGATGACTTAACTTTGAGTGAAATAGTTACAGTAGCATTATAGGAGGTTATTTAGAAAATTGAATACAGCAACTGCTGTATTTAAGTTGCCTCATTTAGCAACTGCCTCATTTAGTGACTGTTCAGTTATGGGGGTGATGAAAAAGTCACTTTGTGACCAGTCCTTGCATTTATGATCTTTGCAGGTCTGTAAAGCCAAGGAAAGCTGAAGGAAGATTGTAAGCACCGTTGTGGTTTCACTTAGCAACTGCTTTGCTTAATCACCAAGTTGCTGGTCCCAATTGTGCTGCTAAACGAGGACCACCTGTAGAGGCAAATGCAAAATTATGGTCTTAGGAAATAGAATTTGAATGTCCAGGTGGATGGTGGATACCTGGCTTCATAACAGCTCTTATACAAAAAGGTCTTTTAATGGTGGTTGATTATAAGTCATAAGCTAGAAGCGTGATGTAGCTGCAAAAAAGGCAAATGCAAGTTTAAGCTGCAATTCTGCAATGAAAGGGTGAATTGGTGTGTTGGTTTGATTTGGAGATTTGGTTGGGGTTGTCCGAGTATAGGCTGGGAACACCAGGCGTTCATGAAGTGAACACTGTGTGACAACCTGTTTCCTGCAGGAGAATCTGGTGTGTCCTTTGTTACAAGACTATCACCTTCAGGTCTCTAGACTGGTGGTTCCCAGTCCACAACAGTCAAGGCATGGCCGGTTGTCCCTTACAGGAGCTGGCTCCAGTGGAAACCCTTGCTCTGACACATACCGTGGACCTTATGCGCAGTCAGAACCAGAGGTGCAAGCCATCGTGGATTTTGTACAGCTTCATGGCAACATCAAGGCCTTCATCTCCATCCACAGCTACTCTCAGCTTCTCCTCTATCCTTATGGTTACACCCAGAAGCAAGCTGCAGATCACCTGGAGCTGGTAAGTCTCATCAGAGCCATCCCTCCCATTTTTGCTCCCCATCCTATGCTTCTGATCTTTCCACCTGACCTACTCAATCCTCTTTTAAGCTGCCATTTATTACTGACACATCCTGTTCTGGTCTTTTCCGGATATGGTGGTCCTGTTGTCTGGGGACTGGGAGAGGTGTAATTCTTGGACAACCCAACAGGCTGGGAATGAGCAGCCTGATTTTTTCTCATCAAGACTGCTTCTTTCAGCTGCCCATCCCTAAGTAAAGCAAAAACCTTGTAAATCTCACCCTCTAACCTTGGGCCTCTTATCTCCTCGCGTGTCTTCCCAGGACGCTCTCGCTAAGAAGGCCATCACGGCTCTAGCTTCCCTCCATGGAACCAAATACAGATATGGCAGCATCATCAAAGCAATCTGTAAGTGACAGAAATGAGAAGCCAAACACCATTTTCCAGGCCAAGAGGGGAATCAATTATTCAACTGGATGTACAGTTTTATCAGGACTACTTAGTTGCCATCTGAGTCCATAAGGGTGGTTGGAATCCAGTAGATCGTTGCAGGCACCATCGTTGGTGACTGTCCTTGGGTCACTGGGACTCCTGGATCATCTTCTGTGGCCAACTGACTCAACGCCATCCAGTACAGCACATTATGGTGGTGAGGCCATTGCCTGTTGACCATTTTTCTGGAGTCTTCCCGGGAGACACATGAAGTTGGCAACCTGGCACTGCCTTTTTCATTCTCTTTCCTCCCAATAGCTGGGGGAGGGATAAAACCAAAACAGATAAGGAGATGGAGTGGCTGTGAGGTCTAAGACATCATCTATGCCACAGATGGGGGGAAAAAATCCCCTACCAACTGCTTGGATGACATGGTTGGTAGTTACTGGTTTAGCTCCCATGCAGCTGTAGGACTAAATCTAATCCCTTTAGGGCTAATTGACTCGGTGAGTTGATCCAGTTTTCCTGTTTGTAGGACATGCTGTCCTTCTCCGTGACCCAGTTAGGTGTATTGTGCAACAGGGTGGAGAAGTTTGTGTGGAAAAAGTCATTTTGGGCCCCAGTGACAAAATGGCCACATCCGCACGATATCCTCAGCTCGGTTATGGAACTGACCCATTTTCTGCCTTTAAATTATAACCTTGAACTGCAAGTTAATTAAACAGGTGAGATTCACAGAACATGTTAAGAAATGACAAAGTAAAACCCATGAGAAGGTGATGATTAAAATTAAGCTTATTAGGTAACATATTTATATACCGCATCATAGGCTAAAGCATTGCAGTTGCAAGATTTGTAACTAACTTGGTTAAAGATGTTGTGTGAACTGCACCTAGTTAATTGGCTAATGTATTCACTGGGCGAGATGGAGTTCATATTTTCACAGCATGGTCTAATCCAGGGTTTCTCAACCTTGGCCCCTTTAAGACGTGTGGACTTCAACTCCCAGAATTCCCCA